CCTCCTCTCCCACCCAGGTGGCCTGGCCGGAGGGATTGAGATCTGCATCACATTCCCGACTGAGTATGTGAAGACGCAGCTGCAGCTGGACGAGAAGGCAAACCCTCCCCGCTACAAGGGCATCGGTGAGCACACTCCCAGCGCTCTGCCCCAGCCCACGGCTAGATTTGGAGACTGCTGGTTGGAGTTGGGGGTCAGTGAGCAGGGTTTGGTGGTGGGGTGCGCAGTGAGGGTGGCACAGTGGCCCTTGGCGCATCGGGTGACGGCTGCTGTGCTCTGTCACAGGGGACTGTGTGAAGCAGACTGTCCGTGACCATGGCATCCGGGGGCTGTACCGGGGGCTCAGCTCGCTGCTGTACGGCTCCATTCCCAAAGCCGCTGTCAGGTACGTGTCTCCTGTGGCATGGAGTGATTTGGGGGAGACCCTGGGCAGCAGGAAACAAGGGGGTGGGTTTGCCTTTGGTGTCCCCAGCAGCACTTTACTGAAGCCTGGTGCTTTCACACGCAGGGAGGGTCCTCTCGCAGGGTGTGCTGCTGCTCCCAGAGCAGGGGGATGCAGCCCCCCAGCTGGGCACCTGGAGTTTGGCACGGTGGCTCCTTTGCAGGTTTGGAATGTTCGAGTTCCTCAGCAACCAGATGCGAGACGAGCAGGGGCGGCTGGACAGCACGCGGGGCCTCATCTGCGGGCTGGGTGCCGGCGTGAAAAAAGGGGTCTGCCCCATGGAGACCATAAAGGTGGGTGGGAGGCAGCCACCAGCGTATCCCCACCCCAGCCCCCCTCACTGGGCTGGGGTGGGAAGAAGTGAGAGCCAGGGATGCCCAGCTTTCAGGAACCCAGGGGTCACGTGGGTTTGCACAGGCCGGTTTTGTAGCGGAGGAGCTGATGCTGGAAAGCCCCATGAAGAGGTCAGGCCCAGCAGCCATGGCCCTTTCCCTGCTCTAGAGAGGAGCCCTCACCCTGGAGCAGTCCTGTCACCTGTTTTAGTACTATAAAACCCATGCAATCACTCGCAGAGGCAGTTTTCCAGGTTTTCCTCTGCAAAAGCCATTGCTGGCTGTGTGTGTTGGCTTCCCTGTGGTCTCACCCAGCCTCGCCTGGCCACATGGGTCAGCTCTGCTCTTGGGACAGTCCCCAGAGCAAGGCGAGAGACGTTCATCAGCCTTTTGGGTGTGCATCCCCTCCTCACCTCAACTGGGACGAGCTCATCATCTCCCCACAGGTGAAGTTTATCCATGACCAGTGCTCTCCCAAGCCCAAATACCGCGGCTTCTTCCATGGTGTCCGGGAGATCGTTCGGGAACAGGGTGAGTCCCAGGGAAGTGGCACCCTGACCCCCTGGGTACCCCCACGCTCTGGGGATGGGAGGTGGGGGTACAGGTGGGCACCAGTGGCCTGGGCAGGTTTTTCTCTGCCTTGGTGAAGCTGATGCCCCCCTCCAAAGGCCTCTCTTGCTGCAGGATTAAAGGGGACCTACCAGGGCTTAACTGCGACCGTCCTCAAGCAAGGTTCGAACCAGGCCATCCGCTTCTTTGTCATGACCTCTCTCAAGAACTGGTACAAAGGTATGGTACCCCTGTCCCTCTAGGCCACCCTGGCTGTGCCACTGCTCCCCCAGCCTGTCCTCAAGAGCTGGGCCTGGGCTTTCCATCAGCACACTCTACTTCTCATGGTTCAGCCTCTCATGATGGAGGAAGATGAAAGCCAGGGCAGGGGCCCCCAGCTCATGGAGTTGGAGCATCATGTTCACCCCCTCCCTGAGCCCCTCAGTGGAGCGGAGCTGGTGCTGCTGGAGAGAACCCTCCAAACACCCTGGTCCCCCAGCTCAGCACAGCACAAGCCCTGACCGCGTGGGATTAGACCTGGGACCTTCCTTGCAGGCTCCCTTGGGGATGCCGTGATTCACCCCCACACCGCTCCTGCTCCCTCAACCTCTCCTCCTTCTCAGGGGACGATCCCAACAAAGTCATCAACCCCTTTGTCACGGGGGTGTTCGGAGCCATTGCCGGAGCTGCGAGCGTCTTTGGCAACACCCCCTTGGATGTGGTGAAGACCAGGATGCAGGTACTGCAGCAGGGCAGGGTGTGGGGCTCCTCTGCCTGCGGTGGGCTGGGGTCATCCCCTGTCAGGGACCCGCTTCGTGCAGCTCCCGGGACAGGCACCTGATGCCAGGCGAGGTTTGGGAGATGCCTGGGCACCAGGCAGCTGGGCTGTGGGAGTGCTGGGAAGTGTTTGCACAGAGATGGGGACTTCCCTGCCAGTCTTGGTGGCCCACAGCAGCAGAGGGGGTCGATTCCTCCTGGCACACCCCCAGCTCTCTTCCTCCCCCACCAACTTCTCTGGATGCATCCTTGGCTCTGGCCTCTGACTCTGTTTTTGCGTTCTGCAGGGGCTAGAAGCGCACAAGTACAAGAGTACCTGGGACTGTGCCTACCAGATCATGAAACACGAAGGGCCCCTGGCGTAAGTGCTGTGGCA